ATAATTACGCGAGCAGACGAACAGAAATCAATCGGTCGACGACGAGGGAAATCAACGACCTCGCGGGGATAAATAATGCGTCAACAACGTTGCTTCATAGGCATTTTCACGAGAGCGCGAACCTGCGTTGACCGTCGACGTCGCGACGCCCGTTAAAGGTCGTTAATTTTTAACGGACTCGAAAACACACGCGCGAACGAGGTCGATTCGAATTGTTGGGGAGTAGGTCTTTTTTTTTTCACCTTTTCCAAATATTTCTCCCGCTCACTGTGCTTCCTGTCGCTTTTTTTCCGCAATCGCGCGGCTATTTCTATTGCAATTGATGTCCCTTTTTTTTTGGAAATAACGCCACCACCAGGGTGGCTTAATGGACGCTGATGATTCGAAAATAAATGAGAAATCGTAAATTTCTGAATAATATTTTTGCACGTGCACTTTTTGTTATCCGCGGTGTATTGTTCCTGGAAATTATTGGGGAGCATTATTTTTCGTGGAAATGGTCTGATTCGAATTTCGGGAATTCTGTGTAACGTCGTTTATTTGACGTTTATATTGCCGGTATTTTTTCAGGATGAAAATTGTTGCTGTTAGCTGGTCTTGAAGGCAGAAGTTATAATTACGAAACAATAGAGACGTTTTCATTTATTTTTTTTAGTATAAAGTAATAGCTAGGGAGATCTCGATAATTTTACAATTTATATTTAGTGTAACTTTGATGCTCTCAGAATTTAAATTCAAGATGTAAATATTCAAAAATGTACACAAACTGTGCACAAAGAGTTACTTACACCTATATTACTGTAGCACAGTAGAATTGCAGACCACACAAAAGATTACAACGGATGTTAAATCCTCGACTTTCACTTATCCATTCTACAGGGTGTCCCAGCTTTTTCCGATCAAACTTTGTCAGTATGTTCTATGGGTACAAGTAAGAAACAAATGTCATATAAACGTAGGTCGTTTGAAGCTTCCTCAAGAAGTTATAACAAAAGTACGAAATAGGAAGGAAATGGTAACGAATTTACGGTTACTATGACACAAGACAAGAATGGGATTGGCAAAAGTTACATTCAACACTGATCTATTCCTATTTTGTATGGTAATAACCGCACATCTGGTACCGTTCCCTTCGTATTTCGTATTATTGTCATACATTTTTAATCAAGCTTCAAACGACATATGTTTACATAACATTTTCTTCTTTCTTATGCCCACGGAACATACTGACAAAGTTTGATCGAAAAAAAATTTGACACCCGGTATATTAGTAATCTCTTGTAGGCATTCGCTTACCTATTTACAACATTCACGGTATTTTCGGTCCAGGCAATTTTATCTTAACAATTTTCCAAAGAATAAACAACTATGCAGCAAATAATACAAAAAGCTTCAGAAAACGAATCTTGCGTGACAAAAATCTCTTTTAACAACCGCGAGTCCATTCTCGAAGGAAGAAAACGCCATAATTATCAGAGGTCCAAGGAAGGAACGGGAACAAGGTAAGGAGGCAAGAATCTTTTTTTGCGTCTTTCGAAGGCTCGTCGACTTACTCTCTTTATTATTCACCGGGTAACATCGCAGATCCTCCCGTTAATGGGAATTCGTGATTTTGTTGATTTTACTCAATGGCGAAAAAGGAGAGAGAGAGAGAGGGATCTCCTCTCGTGGCAGCCAAGCCGGAGGTGCAATTAACGTCGACGCGCACCAAACGAGATTTATTAGCTCTTCTGGTATAATTGCTTCCAAGAAAGCTAGCAAGTGGCAATGTTTTTCTCTTTCTCACTCCCTCCCCCTCTCTTCCTCCTTTTTTCTGCGCAATTACGTCTAACGAAAGCAATTATCGAGTTTCGTTAGCGTCGACGCGCAAACGCCTCGCGAATTCGTGCCCGTTCTACTATGCGATTGATTGGCAATAAAAATATGCACCTGTGTGGGTAATTATACTCGCGCGCGTGTGTGTGTGTCTACGTATGTACATGGGAACGCATTGGTCTAGTGCCACTTTGAGGAAAAAGTTCAGAATTTTATTGGATGCATAATTTCAACAAAGTTGAATCCACTGGAAATTGTTTCCTCATTTTTATCGCTGATCATTGAGTTAGATGTTTGGAAATACAATGGGATGTTAATTGAGGATGAGTCAATAAATAAGTTACACTTTCCCTCTAAAAAATATACGAACAAATGAAAGAAACCTCTTTTATTACCAACTACTGCTTCTCAACACAGTCATTGAGTATCTGTAAACACTTGTTGCAACGGGGAACCAATTTCCGAATTCCGTTTTCAAAAAATTTGTGCCCGATTTTCGTAATCATTTTAAAGTGATTTCCTTTATTTCGTCATCCGTATTTTCGTTTGGTTAATATCATGAAAGATCCGGACTGTAAGGTGGATGTTCTCATTGTTCCCATTGAAATTTGCACAACAGCATCTGTGTCACAGTCGCAGAATGTTGTCGAGCATTTCTGCAAAGGAGAACCACTTTTCTACTGAGTTTTTCGAGTCATTTGTTTGTTTACGACTGTTCGTAGACGTTTTAACGTTTAACAATAAACAAAACCGTTAATTGTTCTCCTGAATTGAAAATAACGGGGAGGTTTTGTTAGGCATAAATGCAGCGAGGAAATAGCAGGCAGATGTAACTTATTTATTGGTTCACCCTCGTAAATCTATACTGAAGGAGAAATAGTTGAAAGTGTAAAAATGAAATTCTATAACAGGAAATCTTACTTTCAAAAATATTCGAACACCAAGAAAGTTTGGTTGATGCTTCTTTTTGAAACGTCATTTATTGTACTTTGGAATTACGTCTTGTTAATTTAACGCATTCTCATATATGACATTGTAATACAACTTAATCGAAATTATATCCAATTATTATGTTACACACATATTCGAACTATTAGCAAAAATTGATATTTTGAATATTCATATAATAAATATAAATTTAATACAATATTTTCAATATCACAAATATTTTTGCCTGCACAATGATTGTTTGTTAATGCTGGAATATTTTTAGGAGTAACTGTATCTATTATAAAATAGATAAAACTTTATTTACCCAGACTAGCGGACACCGATGTAACATTCGTTTGTTACAAAGCTCCTTAATTGCAAAATCCAGTGAGAAACTTAGGTTGGTCGGTTTATTTCAAGAAAGAAATCGCTTGTTTGCAGAAACGTATCGAAACATTACGGGACCTGTGGATGTGTAGAGAATTCAGGGAAGCTTTCGTAAAGCGGAGATAATCGAAACGCAGAAGGTAATTAGGTAATTAGTTCCCGGTAACACGAGCATCCGTGCCACGTTTATGTACATAAAATACAGGATTTACATCTAACTCAATGTTGCCGGGCAGAGATATTACCGTCAGAGATTTCCCTATCAGGGCCTTGCACACCGAATTGAAGTAACGAGGTACTTTTGTCGTTATTAGTCCGCTGAAATTCATGGGACTAATTGAGTATCCCATAAATCGGATGTACGTGATGCTTTTTGCTGCACCTGATCGCGCTGTAAATTTGATTTAATTATCAGCAGATGATATTCAAATAATAGAAAGCAATATTCTACCAATTATTAATTTTCCTCGAGGATTGTTCATTTGCAGAAGGAAAAGGTTCAAGATTCTTTTCCGATATAACAAAAAATTCACGTATTGTGAACACTCGTTGAGCAAAAAACAGAGAAATTGAAGTATATACAGGGTGTTTCGTTGTGAAGTTTCAGGAGCATCGTCGATTTTACAAGAAAGAGATTTAAGGTAGAAATTTAATTATATTCTGATGTGCATAGTTGTTCAAAAATATAGGTTTTCTACTTATTTTTTCAAAATGAATCAAAAGTCACGCATATGTTGCAGAAAGAGATCCAATATAAACTGACACTACAGGGTGCTTCGAGAAATTGTTAACACATGTGTTCTGATGATTATGAAAGTGGTCTAAGTCAAAAATCTAAAGAAGTTGAATTTATCACTTATTTTGTGTTGCGTCGATTTTTTTCATAGAAAAGAATTATAGGAACAAGTATTTCGTGAAATATTTTATTCAATATATACATATAATATTTATTTAAAGCGAAAATTCTAAATATTTCGAAACAAAAAATATATGACTTAAACCATTTTCATAATCACCGATACACATGGAAGTGATTTTGTCTTTGAAAAGAGTCTTCATTTGTTCACCATCGTTGTCAACACATGCTTGGAATCTTCTCCAGGTGTTCTCCAGAGAAAATACATGTACAAATTCTCCATATGAGGATTAACATTTTTTTGAAGCACCTTGTATTCTTTAAATTTACACGAATTTTTCATTCTTTAATATTTCACCTGTCATTTTATTTTCTGCTGTAACACTTGAACAGCAGAAACTTAGAATCTAACATAAACTCTCAATATTTTCCAAATTTAACGTAGGTATATAATTGTATATGTATGAATTTTTCAATTTTTAATACTACATCTGTTGTTTTATTTTTTGCCATAGGACTTGAACAGCAGACACTTAGTTCCCGTAGAAGTGTTCCGGGGCATACCATACGCGGCCCCTCCCGTAGGAGATTTACGTTTTCGACCACCGATTTCGCCGATCCCCTGGGACGGTATCAAACTGGCAGATTCCTTCGGTGCAGTCTGCCCGCAGCACTTTCCGGACATCAGCAATGACACAGCTGCTTTGTTGCAAATGCCTCTGGGCAGATACCAACAGTTGAAGCATTTGTTCACGTTCCTGACCAACCAGAGCGAGGACTGCCTGTTTCTGAACCTGTACATACCCGGCAGTGGTAAGCATTGTTCAATTTTATACTGTTTGCCGCTACATCTATTTTCTGCGTGCAAAACACATGGAAAAAATGTTCTATTTGGAGCAATGAAAAGATTTTTATTTCTTTTAGAAAGTGAAACTAATGGCTGAGAATGTCGATAAGGAAGAAAATTGTAAAAAGTTGCAATGTTGTACAATAGATTATTATTCGAATTTTTTTTTTTTGGAAAGTAAGAACGAAGAAGAAATTATTTTTAATTATTTTTAAAAGTTGCACTGTTACCTACACGATAGAAATTGTTTTCCTTTAGGTCAGATTAAATTTTTTGAATGTACTTTCTAATAGACACGTGAACAATTGAACTTCCAATTAATTTCATGACAGACGAATTAATATATTAGGTTCGTGCACGTGAAACGTCGTTTTTTGAAATGAAACTTCGGATACATATATTGTTTCTTCAAAAAATAATGTATTTAATCGAAATAATTTAACCTTCTGCAAATGCTAAATTTATGTTTTCAGCAGCTTTTATCGCAGCTTTTCCAAGCTTAAACTTATATAAAAAAATTATGCGAATATCCGGGTTATTCACCACGTTGAATAATAATGTCCAAACAACTATATTGTGCATTTTTTTTCTACACGTGTACTACAGCAAATTCTTGACTACGACGTATAAAAATTTATGATCGAACAAAATTTAATATATGGTATGAACCCGCAAATTTCACCTGTTGAAAAAACTACGTTTCATTTACACCAACCTAATACTATTGTTCAGAATGAAAAATTCACTAAAATACTCCCTTCTCCGAAAATGTAAAAAAAGTACTTTGATAAACTTGAATGTTTCATCATTTACAACATTTTTTCATCCACAGTGTAAGGAACAAGATGCAAAAAAGTATCTGTAAAAAAAGGGAGGTATTTCACTGAATCTAAACGAGAATACTGTCTCTTTTTTCACTTGTAAATTCCACCAATTTCCCAAGACCGTCGTGCAATTAATAAACTTAAGTACCACATTCGCGGGGAAATGTTGTCACGCGAGTCGCTGACGTAACATCAACGAGAGTAAAAGGTAGAAAAAAGAAATACACGTGTACATAGGTGTGCGTCGTGCATCTAATTAAACACGTGAATCTCGCCTTTATATTCGAAAGGAAGGGAAGATTCCCGGCGTAATGCTCGTAATTAATTAGCACGCGTTAATAACACTCGGCCAGGAAATTCTGAGCCCACCACCTATCGTCTGTTTATGGAACAGTACGGGTATTACGAAACAAGTTACTTCCTGAAGTAATTAGTCTCGAAGTAATTAGTACCTTTATGCCGGGTATTATCGCGAAAGTAAGAGCCGCCCTCGTATATCATTCGATGAACGTCGTAGTCGAATTTACGAGGTCGGTCGACGTTAAAAATTCACCGTAATTTAACAGGAGTTTCGCGAAACTTCATTTTCACATGTTCTCCGCGTCGAAATGTCCCTGTTGCGCGTATATAAATTACTCCCGATAACAAGTGATAAAATATGAAAAAAATATACGTGCCCGAGACATTTAACGACAAAAAGTTAAGACCGGATTTGGAAACTCGTATTTTTTTTTTTTTTTTTATTCTCTTTTAGAATTCAACAGGATGAAAATATGTGTGTGACTGTTGTGCAATAAAGCAATGTTCCAATAACGAGCAAGGTGAACTCGAATAAAATAACAACGGACATGAGAAACTTAGGAGGCACAAAAAAAGAAAAATTTGAATGAAATGAAAAGCTATATGAAATTACTTATAGATTTGCATATTTGTAGATCCTTAAGATGGCCATTTCTGGTGTCAATTTTTTTTATCAGG